TCCCATGTCTCTTTTTTGAGACTTTAAAAGTGCAGCTTCACTGCATGGCTGTAAAGGAAGGGCTCACAAGTGTTCAGTGAGCACTTGTCAGCGTTGCCATATGGTAAAAACTTGCATTTTTCAAGTCTTTAGTGCAAGAAATAGCTACTTTCAAAGCACTAAATGATGAAACGGCTGGAAGGCGTTTGGTGATTACTGACCCTGTCCTGGCTGTCCCCATCCTTCCCTTGTCCTGCCCTCTGCAATCTGCCCTCTCCTGCAGCCCTCTGCATGCCTGCTACAGCTGCTGCTCTCTCCAGCAGGATCCGTGATCTGCTACTTAGGGGCAAAAGAAAATTTGCTCGTTTTTCATTTAGTTGACAGAATAGAGTAATTGCTATAATTTACCCTGCCCTGCGTCTCACAAGCAGTTCTGATACCGTTACATATTTATGGGTCCCCGTCTGAAGTCTCCCTCCTGAGGTGCAATTTAGGAGCACTTTGATTCGTAATTCCTGATTCTAGGTCCTTGTAAAATTTAGTTATGACCAGTTTAACATCCAGGTGAGTTGTGTACTCCATCTGACTCAATTCAAGTCCATCTTCCTCTCTAAGAGCTGGGTCCATAACCTGGTTTCTACAGGCTGGTTGCCTGAGCACAGTAATGCTTTGCATAACTTGCAGTGTAAAATCAGATTATGTATCATGAATTCTCCTGAAGCTTGACTGAGGGTCTGCGGTTCCACTCTTCTCTGTGCCGTAAGTCTGCATCAAGGTTTTAAGCTGCAGCTTTAGTGCAAAGCCATTAAATGGAAGATGTTGGAGGTCCTTTTGCTTATGGGAAGGGAAATGCTGTTTGGAAAATGAGGGAAGCAGCTGAGATTGGGGCAATTTAGTGTCTGTGCTCTCCCTCCCTGCCCTAATGAATGAGGATTTGAATCCTCACCTGATCCCCTCCATCCACCTTCTCTTAGACTTGTTGTATGACGTCTGTGAACTCTTGGTTGCTTATAAAGCTTGAGAGGTTCTATACGTGACTACAAGAATATCACGGCCTGTGTTAAAAGGCATCAGCTTCATATAAAGACAGAGAGGTCTTTCAGCAAAAATCTTAAGATGCCAGCAATCTTCTCTCTGAAATCAGTGGGCGATTTGCCTGGAAGGACTTTAGGCTCTGGTCCTGTAAAATTAATCTCTCCCTGTACAATCTCCTACAGCCACGTACAGAAGATGAATGCCAACTAAACAGTATCCACATACATTTCAAGTATGCTGAAATGACACTAGTGCCTACAGTTTAAACTATGTTGATCCCACAGACATTTTTGGTGGAACTATGTCACACTAACCCTTGACGAATTTGTGTAGGCCTCTGCAGCAGGCTGCCCACGCTGGGAAGCCACACTCATGTTTATCGTGGGGAAAGTCTGGCCGGACTCCTACATGTCGTGCAGTGCCAGACAGCTGACTGACCTGAAGGGATCAAAGAAAAAAATGTGTGAGCATATCAGTGCAAAGCATTCCAACGTAATTTTAATCACACAGTATTTCTATTGACCTATTAAAAATGCACCGTGAGCTAACAGGCATGAATTTTGGTGATGGGCCTTAAAACCAATAGCAAAACTATGTTGTCTTCAGTGCCTTTCTCATTCTACAGCTCGTATAAAAAGACCAAAGCAAGTCTCACCCACCCACGTCCCAGTCCTTTTTCCACTGCCAGGTGGCAAAGCCTGTACCAGCAGCGGCTGCTGTACCAGAGTCTTCCTCGCATTCAGCACAGACGTTGCACGTCGATACGATCAGTAGGCGCAAGAAGCCGATGCGGGCCTTCTTCCTCGCCCATCCTCCTGAGACCAGCTGCAAGGCTGTTAAGCAGCAGGTGAGTTTGGACTCACCCTTGGAAATCACCACAGCCCGCCACTTCGTTACCACCCCTGAGCTGAGATCGGAGAGCACCAGATTTGACTCGTTGCTTACCCAGGCTGTTTTCATGCCACCTACCCAGAAGTAGGAAGCCGCTCTGTGTCTCGGTACCCTGAGATCTGCGCTTTCTGCAAAAACAAGCCTTTTCAAAGAAAGATATGTTTCGAGCTTTCTCATTTTGCTTTGCACTTCACATCATATTGTTATCGATGTCTTGTTCCATCATGTCATGTAGCATAATGTAAGAGGACAAGTGCAGTAAGGTGTTCACTGTGTAGGTGGGAAATCTGAAGAGAGGGAGTTCTCTCCAACATATGGCTGGGCTTTAATCACAGAGTTTGTTTCTTTAAAAATGCTTTGCTTTTATCAAAGGTCAGTCTGTGTGCAGGAAGGTGACATTTCTGTGAGGGATGCAATCCAGTAGGCACGTACAGCAAAAATAAAATGCAGGGTAAACCAAGTCAGCCCTGCTTGTGCTCTTAAGCAAACAAATACAGCCTTGAAAAGCTCCAAGTCAGATCCCCGGTGTGGGTGACAGCAAGCCGCCGCAGAAGAGTCTGGATCCTGCTTGGCACGTACTGAAGCATCCCTTATCCAAGGGTCTGGGCTGTTACGCAAAATCCTCATGTCAGGGAGGAAATGGGCAGAGATTAAATGTTTTGACTAACTGTTTCATGAAGGTGGGGCTGTAAAGTACCACTTCACCTTCCTGGCTTTCAGACATTTGCTCCCTAGGCAGTCACCAAAACGTACATCTGAAGTGGCCTCTTCCGAAACGAAGACTGTCCTTGTCTTTGATCGATATTTCATGAGCTTTGTGCAGAGGGCAACTCATGTCCAAAACATGGGCGCATCCGTTTACTGCTGAGGCCTGTATGTACTTCCCAGAAGGATGTGTTCTCTGTTTCCATGGATCTGGCAGAACTTGCTTTTATCCACAGAAATATTTGTTCAAAAGATGAAAGGTTCTTGGGACAGAGCAATCAGAGTACAGAACGTTTTTTTCCTTATTTACACACCACAACTTTGAGACCCTTTTATCACAGTTTTCTGCATGAAATCCAACTGGGATGGAGACAAGCAACCTAGGAGAGAGCTACAGGTGCTGTGCAGCGTTGCAGGGGTATGAGTGAAACGCGGGCCAGAGATTGTTCCCAGGATGTCTCCCATCGCTTTACATCCCTTGAAAATAATGCTGAGTTTAAGCATGGGGCCACAGGCAATGCTGCAAGGAGTCGAGGTGACGGGCTGGCTATTCCTGGGTTTTGGGAGAGGGGATGTGACAGTGTGTCACGCCCAAGGTAGGTACTCTTTGGACCTGCCCGTTCCTCTAGGGTTTCGCTGCTGGTTTTGGTGTGTGTGGGCCAAATGTTGGCTGTGAGAAAAAACAGTGAGTTTCCTATAATTCTCCAAATCCTAGGGTTTGCATACGCATTGGTGTGACTTATGGAAGCACTGTGAGTATAGATGCCAAAGTAGCTAGCACAAGATTATGGTGAACCCCACGCACCAGCGTGGTGTTCACCACCATACACCAGTGTTTATGTAGCGTCTTGACGTATGGTCGTTGGCTCTTAGCAGTCCCTGGCAGGAGGGCATTTCTGTTGAGGGTATCCTATTTTTGAAAACAAGGCAAATATTCCTCAAACATTCCTCTGCATTCTCATTCCATGTGGCTTTCAGTGTGGCTGTTCAGCAGCAAAATTGCTCCACATCGCCTCTTGTTGCCTATGAAGGTGTATTCTTACGAAACCTTCTGGTGGGTCTCTTAGTCCAGGGGTCAAATGCTGTCCCCTGCCACGTGCTTGAGAAAAGCCCGAGAGCAGCAACAGGAGCTGAAAGCCTCAGCTTTGCAGTGGCCCAGCCGGCCAGCCTCAGGAGCCGTGTTTATAAAGCGCTTTCTAATGAAGGGAAAAGAAGCTGGAGAGTGATTTTCTAAGAATAAAAATTCCTTTATGGTTTTTTGAAAACTACTTTACGCGTTGCTCAAATGATCACTAAGCATCTGGCAGGCTGGGTTTCTGCCATGTGTGGCAGAGGATACAGTTTGTATAGTTGCAAGCAATCTACTCAAAAGCTTTTGTGTAGTCCTGGAGCCCAGGAACTTGTTAATTTTCAGCAGTCATTTTCCACATTTAGCCCATTAGAGACTCTATTTTTGGTGACCTAGTTTGAGCTCTTTAAAAAATAATCAAGCAGCATTTTTCAGATCTGATTTGTAATGGGACTGTGGATTGGTTTTGCAACTTGAAATGGAAGTTAGTGGGGGGAGGTGAGGATAGAAACTGCTTTTTATCTGCCTGGTCCTTCAGAGCTAACATTTGCAATCAATTTTAGAAGGCCTCTAGGAAGGTTAATCTGACAAAGACTATGGCTTGGCTTTGCCACTTCAAGGGTTATTATTTGACATGCCACTGGGAAAATAATAAAGTAGCCAGGTTTAAATAATACTTTCTATGCGATAACCTCCAGGAGTGCTACCAAGTATTACTGGGCATGATCCAAACGCTGTTAAAGCCCGTGGATTCGCTTGCTCCCCAGCGCGTACGACGTGGTTTGTATTCGAGAACGAGCAATTGGGGCACACGCCAAAATGGCTTGCCTTGGGTTACACACTGACTCTGCCGGGGCAGAGCTGGGATTAGGGCTCGGACCTAAAGATCCTGTTTCCATGCTTTATCTCGGCTGCGGGAGTTAGTACCATGCAGGAGAACTACCAGCCTCCGGATACCTGTGTCTGCAGGGATGGCCCGGGCAGTCGCAGCCCTTCGGGATGTGTAAGAGAGGAAGGGTGCTTGCAGCCGGGAGCTGTTTGGGCCCGAGCGCCGGCTTGTTCAGATGGGCGGTTGTGGGCAATTCCAGGAAAACTAAAGCGAAGAAAAACACCTCAAAATAAAATTTCTGTTTCCAACTTTACAGATATTGTTTTCACGTTGTATGTCAATGCAAAAATATAGTCCTAAGTATCAGGTGGTCTGGATTGGCACTGCAGTGGAAAGGTACCGTTTTCACTTTTGTCCTTCATTTTCTGTGGACACCCTGTCCCACACTATGGGCAGCAAGCTGCCTTGCTTGGGGAGCCGTCCCCAACTTCAGGCTCCCTCCTGGGACCAGGGAGAGCAGCCTAGCAAAGCTGACATTGCAAGGAGCAGCACAGAGTGATCCTCTGGATCCCCAAGAAGAATCTCTGTGATATTTTTAAGGATCCGCAAGTTTAGGGATTGAATCTGCCAATTCAGTAGGAAGGGAGAAGACAGCCCCTCTCTAGGAGACACAGAAGTGGAGGGTGTCCCTGGTATGGAAAGGCTCAGAGGTTGTTGAGGTAACCGTAGGAAAAATGTGCAACCACCGTATGTCCTGGGTGTGTGCACCTCGCGGCCATCATCCTCGGAAGCTCTTTCAACGGGGCACATGGAGAGGGAGGAACAGTCAAAACATGCAGAATTACAGGAAGGATTTAAAGCAGCTGCGAGACTCTTGGTGGGGACAACTGGACTCTCCTATTAAGGAGGTCAAAACTGGTCCTTCATCCCTCTTGATCCCTGCTCGAGCTCCAGCTCGTGTGGGGCTGACCTACAGAGCACAACTCGAGTTTGGAGTTTCTTACTGTTGGATCTGTTTTCTCAGCGTAAATACTCCTCCAGAGGCTGGGAGTTGGCACAGATGATCATATAATTCAGTTGAGATCAGATTGATTGTAATTAAAAATGTTTGGTCTATTAGAAATATGAGGTTCCTATATTTAATTTATATCCGATTTAAAAAAAAGAAGGAAATTAGTAATTTATGAGTTTCTATTGCCATTTTTGTGTTTCTGTAGCTCAAAAGTGTCTTGATCCAACAAGTAAGATATGGCAAATGTTCTAAGTACTGTTTAATTTATTTTTTTAACTAAAAAAAATATGTAAATGCCTGAGAAATTATATTTTGAAAAGTGGCTACTGCAAATTAACAGCATTTCATATGGATCTTACTCTACATTTTTAATACACATAATGCGTGCCCCAAATTACATGATTTGCATTATAAAGCAGAACAGCTCCTGTGTCACTGCTGCTGTCCAACAGTTGAATAACAAGGCTTTTCTTTCCAAACTGTATAAATACATATTTGCCCAAATGATGCAATTTAGGGCTCTTTTATTTACACTTTTCTGGTCAGTCAATCACGCTGACATCTTTTACAGTCAACGCTTTTTAAACGTATCCGAGTAAATCTAGTGTTTGAGGAATGGAAGTGCCAGACGTACGCTGGGAGTAATCATTTTGTTATTGCACTGACATTTTGGCTCCAGAGTTTGGCACCTTCTCTGTCTCCGCCCTCGACTTCTGCGAGACGTTGCGTTACTGTGTTGTGCCATCTTCAACCGCGGTGGTTCTGCCTTTCCCCGCTGGGCCTGTGGCGTTAAGCATAGGGTTGGGGACACGCTGGTTCCTGGGGCCAGTCCCGTCCCAGGCTTTATTTTGCGGGTGGGCTGGCACACGTTGCATCAGGACCTGGGATGCTGAAAGCGTGCCCGGCCGCTGTCCCTTTGCTACTGCAGAGCGTGCTTAAGGTGGGGGCCTGTTGCCTTCAGGGTCGTCCTCCTCCTGGTCCTGCCTTGTTTCTCCAGCCTTCTGCTGTCTGGAGCATCTGGAGAAAGAGCTGGATGACCTCCATCATGTAATCTTGTCACCGTCAACAGTGTCAGTTCTTTAAAGTCCTGACTCGGGTCATCCACATCTGTTTTCAGTAGTTTTCCAGGATTGCTGATCCTTATTGTCCAAAGAGATTTGGTTTACAGGTTTAATATTCCTGCATCGTTAGCATGGTGACCCCACTGCTTGAATTTCATTCCAAACTGATGGTCAGAATCACAAATGATCTTGAGTTAGCTCACTGCAGTACATGTTGGCTTCTGGCTTGAATATGAGGAGGGAGAAGGTAAATGGGCAGATAAAACTCGCTATTTCTTTA